ATTGTAAATTTTGGTCAATGACATGAGACAAAGTATATGTGAACTGCTGTATGAAAAGTGAATTTACTCTGTAAATCTTCACCCAAATCCTAATAAAATAAAAACATAAAAAAAAAAAATGGAATTTAAATGCCCCACACATCTATGCACAGAGCCTGGCATGAAGCCGAGTGGGAATAGAGAAAGTTGTGTTCCTTGGGGGAGGAAACATTCTTGGTCTTTGGCCAGGAGTGGCAGTGGATTCCTTCAGTTAAGTGAACTTTAGTAGGAGACTTGATGTCTCCAGCACAAGCAAACCGGCTCCACACTCAACTGGAGCCACCAGGTTAAACAATGTAGGGATGACTTCTTTATTGGGATGGGTGTATGGGCATAGGGTGATATCATAGCCACTACTGTGTCTCCTTTATTCTCCTAGCTTGTGTGTTCTCTGTATTGGCATTGAGAAAAGTGCATATGTAGGTCACTCACTCTCCACATTTTTGGAATTAAGGGCAAAAGGTTTTTTTGCCTTTAAATTACACCTGACATATATCACACATGCAAGTCATGGTTAACATATCCCCCTCTGCTTTGTGTCTTGCAGCCTGCAACGTGTGGTACCTGAACTCTGTGGAAATGGAGTCCCTTACAGGCCACCAAGCAGTACAGAAGGCCCTCAGCATCACCTTGGTACAGGAGCCTCCTCCCATCTCCACGGTTGTCCACTTCAAGGTGTCTGCCCAGGGCATCACACTGACAGACAATCAGAGGAAGTGAGTGCCCAGCTTTAGGGCAGGGGGTTTGTGATCACATTGGGAATTAGACTTTCGTGCTGGCTTTTGTCTTAGAAAGAAAATGCCTCAAGAAGTGTTGCTGGTCAATCTTGAAATAATTAGTAATCAGACTTCAGACTAGGTTTTGCTTTATCATTAAAAGCGTCCCAGTAACCATATATAGATTATTGCATTTAAGCTGAATGTTTTTCTTAAGAATCAGTAATTTTTTTTTAACAAAAAGGTCCATTTGGTATTATGAATATTGCACATACACATACATAATTTGCAAATGCAAAAATTTTATAAGTTACGTCTTTAAAACTATCCTGAGACTGTAATCATAGTACACTGATCTTTGTTCAAATGTTATTTTTAACTGGTGGTTATTTTGGTTTAGGTGAGAGCACAACCTTGATATACATTACTTCCTTTTGCCAATTTCAAATGACTCTATCAAAGTTTGTGTTTATCTGAGTTGTTGATACTAGCAGTATGTTCTGACAGGGAACATTTATTTACTTGCCTGCAGGAAATGGTGCTCTGTGCTACCACATATCAAAGTGCTTGTTCTGCTTACTCATCTTCAGACTTGTCTTCCCTGTGTTCCTGTTGAAAGAGAAGGAATCTTTGGCTTTTGACTTCAGGATTAAAGGCATTTTAGAGGCAATGATTATTGTTATGTAAACAGCCTCGTGTGATTTACAGACTAGATTATTAGCCATAAGAACAGAGCCAGGATGGAAAGAACTTGCAGAAGAAAGTGGCTCAGTGGCTCATCTCCTAATACAAGCAGAGTAGTTCCCAGGGAGCTTTGGTAGTGTAGTGCCGAAGGAATTTGTCTGCTAACCAGAAGGCTGGTGGTTCAAATCCACCAGCCATTCCTTGGAAGGAAGGTTGGACAATCTACTTCCATAGTGATATCCCCTCGGAAGCCCAAGGAGGGGTTACTGTGAGTCAGGTCCGACTCAACAGCACATAACAATAGTTCCAGGGAGCCCCAGTTTTTCCTCCCACAGACCTGTTTTGTGTGGGGTGGTGGTGGTGGTGGTACTTTTCTGTCTCTTGACTCAGAGCTGTTCCAGGGCTCATCCTGGGGGTGGGGGGCATAGTTTCCTTCATCTACCCAAGATACAGCAAGTTGGTAGATTTTACTCATAACCCTTCACTAGCTAAAAATGGAAGTGCAAGTTGGCCCTCAGGCTTTGCTAATTGGTCTGCATTCAGTTGCTATCTCTGCTACTTCATAATGGGTGACTTAACCCCATAATGCTCCATTTCCTCTTCTCTAAAAACTGCACTGCAAATGAAATGAGTTCTCCACAAAAGCCAAGCATGGTCAGCCACATGGTAGGTGCAGGCCCTTGTCCAATTCTCTGTGCACATGGAGATCCTCAAACTGTTGTCCTGGAAAGTTCTCTTTTCCATGTTGCCATCCTCCTTTCCTAGTTTCTTCCAGAACTGACTCTATTTACTCTAGTCACCATCTTTTCTATTACCCTTTTTAAAACCTGCAGGCAGGCAGCCTCAGTCAAGCTCTTTATGTTGTAAGAGTCAGAATTTTAATTTGGACTGGCTGATGTAGGAAAGGGAGATGGATTCTCTCTTCAGCATGAAAAGGCCACTGAGGTGTTGATGCAGCCAGCCATAGCCCGCCTTGCATTGAAATGTGTCAAACTCTCTACCTCTCCTTTCCCTAACCAGTGGCTTCTCTCTCTCTGCTTCTCCAGAGAGGTCTTTTGACTTCCTTCCTGTGGCAGAAATAAAGCCTCCAGAAGCTGAAAGACACATGCTCTTAGCTCTCCCCAGAAGGATATATAGCTACCCTCAAGCACCTACTAGCCTGGCCCTGACTGGACACAAAGCACAGGGCATTGAGATAGCTATCATCCTCAGGACCATGTGGATTGGAGGTGGGGCAGTACACTCAAAGGTCGCTAGGAGAGCTGGCAGACAAACATAAGAGGCTATGAGCCCGGGCATAAGACTGTCTGGTTGTTAACATCAGCTGAGCTGAGCTCAGTGTTAAGGGCACTTCCCCTACAAATATAACTTATACAGCCCTTGACAATTTACAAAGTGTCTTCACATCCAGTGTCTTATTTGATTTGGGCACCAGTTGTATGAGATTAGAGGATTAGTATTGTGTTCCTGTTTGTATAGGTGAGGAAACTGAGACTCAGAGACAGAAGTGGTTTCCCCAAGGTCATAGACAAGGGAAGGTCAGACCAGATCCTGTAGGTATATCTTTATATCTATCTCACTCACACACTCACTTCTGCAGTTAGTTGAGGCTTTTGGTTTGATTCTGCATCACCCATGGTGCTGATAATCCTACTTTGTATAGTGCTACTTTTTTTTTTTTTTTTTTTTGAGTGATTAGTGTTCCACAAGGAGCTCTGGTAGCGTAGTGCCTAAGGCACTTGACTGCTAATCAGAAGGCTGGCGGTTCAGACCCACCAGCCACTCCTCAGAAGGAAGGTTGGGCAATGTACTTCCATAGTGATACCAACTTGGAAGCCCAAGGAGGGTCCTGTATAAGTCAGGTCCAACTCGACAATGCATAACAACAACAGTGTTCCCTAACTGCATGTTACCTTTTGGCTGTTAACAAGCACAGACTTTGTTCTTCTTTCCAAGTGACTAGATGAGGATGTAAATCCATCACATGTGGGAGACACACGTAGTATGTGATCCATCATCATCCAGTGCCAGCTCATTCATCTCCCCCTCGTTTCCTGACAGGCTCTTCTTCCGGAGGCACTACCCTGTGAACAGTGTGATCTTCTGTGCTTTGGATCCACAAGACAGGAAGTAAGAATTTTGCCTGTTTGTTAAGCAATTCATTACTTTATTTTATCCCTTAATTTAATAAAAATTAACTTGAAGATTTTCTTTTGTCTTTAATTCACAAGGTGGATCAAAGATGGCCCTTCCTCAAAGTAAGTTGTCAGGATTTTACATTCTCTCTTAGTTTATAGTCACAATCCATAGTTGAATTCTGTTCCAGATTTCCAAAGAGAATTCCTGCTAGAAAAATGACTAATGCCATTTGTTTTGGTTTTTGCTTTTGAAAATATGTTCTTATTATGTAGGGAAGGACTGAGTAGTGTTCACCTTTCTGCTTGCTCTTCACTGCATGCACTGTGTTTACATTTGATCTATATATTTATCTATGAATACAGAGAGGCAGAGCATTTTTTGTCATTTAAGAGAGGGTGTGACCTCTAGTAGCTTTGAAGTCTGTGGAGTCAGGAAGGAGAGCTTTTTGTGAACATTAACACAAATGAAATGGATGTTCAAAGCTTATTACAGAGCAAAAGATAATTCTCATTATGCCTTTGCTTTGTCAAAGGCCAGGCCATGGTTTCTAGATCCCTTGTCCTAGTTCTCTAAGTGGCTGCTTCATGCTGGATCACCCATTTAGTGTCTCTTCCTCATACCCACCTGGGGCCTAATGTGTGGTGCCATCAACTTGCTTTGTTGTCTGAGAGGCAGCAGAGCTCTTGTCCTCCCCATCCTCTTTGAGACATAGCTGTCTCAATTTCCTGATTGCCTTCTCCAGAATCTAAATTCAGTTACCAATAATGTCAAATCACAGGTCTCTTTCAAATGTCTCCCTTGTCAGGGATTTGACAGGTGCTCAGAAACACCCCCTCATCTCAGGTGGAGATTGTTCATGGCACACTTCCCCACACCCTCACAGGCAGAAGTGAAACAAGGCTTTCATCTTCATAGACTTTGTAACTGCATTGCGGTCATTTGAGTGTCATTTGCTGGTCTCCTCCATGATGTGGAAACTGTCACAATTAATCCAACAGTCCTTCATTTTTCTAAGAGAAAGAGACCTCTACCAGGGATTTGGATTCAGATAATGGTAGTTATTGTGTGAACTTTAGAACTCTTAAAAGCCTATTAAGATACTGGCTTCCATTCATCTAAGAAAAATAATTAAATATACTGTTCTTTTAAATAACTGCCCTGACTTACAAAGCCAAAGAAGAGAGTCATTGGAGTATTTACTTACTTTGTTATTTCCTTTTTATTAAAATACATGTTTTATGGAACTGATATGCTTTCTATATATGGTTTTAATCATTATATATGTTTTTTTAAATACATTTCATTGAAATATAATTTCTGTAGAGTGAAATACAATATTTGGCTGAATGTTGTTGTTGTTGTGTGCTGTCAAGTCAGCCCTGACTCATAGTGACCCCTCCTTCAGTTTTCGAGGCAGTATCACTATGAAAGTAGATTGCCCAACCTTCCTTCTGAGGAGTGGCTGGTTAGCAAGAAAGTATCTTAGGCATTATGCTACCAGAGCTCCCAAAGTGACATGGGTCAATGCATTTTTTAATCTATATGTTTTAAAAATAAGTGCTAAGATTATAAAGCATAGTCTTAATCCTTTTTGAAATAAATATCAATTTGAGGTCACTGGTTTCCCATGAATTTGGGGAAATTCCCCAGTAATTGGGTGTCAGGAGTTTCTACTTTAATCCCAACCCATTTGTAGACAAATTATCCAGTTAAATAGTTCTCACTGCCTCTAGTACAGAGGGTCAGGATTTGAATGCATTTGATATCATCTCAGGAATGACACTGGGTTGTTAGAACTACCCAGTCAATCTCTAGCATCATCTTGAACTGGTTTGTTCTGTGTTCAAGGGCAGTAGTAACTCAGAACACCTGTAACCCACCTGGTTTGATTTCATGATGTGAGAACAGGCTGTGGTCCTCACACCGTAGTGCATGAGAAATCATCCAGCTCCATGGACCCACCCTCCCTTAAGAAAGTCCTGTCCTCTAGCTAGAGAGTGGAGCTCAGGCATCTGCATGAACCTGGGTCCAGAGGGTTCCAGCCAGTGCCCTTGAGCCACATATGGAGACGCATTTGTTTAGGGCCTTGGCTTGAAGGCCAGCTCTAGTGCTGGGCCATGACCTGGTCGCTCAGCTTCTCTCAGCCTCATGTTCCTTCCTGAAAGGTGTACCTGTATTTTATCGGCAGGGGGAAGGTTAGAGATAAAGTGCTCAGATAAGTAATAGCAAGGCGCTTGGCATGTAGGAGGAGCTCTGGTGGCGTAGTGCCTAAGGCATTTGACTGCTAACCAGAAGGCTAATGGTTCAAATCCACCAGCCACTCCTTGGAAGGAAGACTTGGCAATATACTTCCGTAGTGATACTGCCTTGGAAATCCAAGGAGGGGTTGCTGTGAGTCGGATCTAATTCAATAGCAGTTATTTTGCTTTTTTTGATTTTGGCATATGGGAGTTGTTAGTAAGTGGCAACTGAAATCACTTCCAGTGTTGTTGGTGGTTGGTGGGACACTGTGCACTCTGACCTTCATTTTTCCTTTGCAGGGTCTTTGGGTTTGTGGCCAGAAAGCAGGGCAGCACCACTGACAACGTGTGTCACCTGTTTGCAGAGCATGACCCTGAGCAGCCAGCCAGTGCCATTGTGAACTTTGTATCAAAGGTCATGATCGGGTCCCCAAAGAAGATCTGAAATTCACATATAATCTGGGACCAAAGGAAGCCTTTCAAAGACCTTGAGATGTCATGGGATTGGGATGGGGCCACAACTTTGTAGTAAATTGACATCCCAACATTCTCAGCCCAAGAAGGAAAAGCAGATCTTCCAATTTTAAAAAACAAGAACAAACAACGTCACCATTTCTTGGCCTTTACTGACAAAAACTCCTCACGTGACACATTTCTGTAACCAAGTGCTTCTAAGATGAAAAAAGTCGGACAGAGGGTACACCCACCAGGGACCACATTGGGAAGAAATGTGGGGTTCCCTCCTTCCTAATACAGCAAACTTTGTTGGGAGGAGGAGAAGCCCACTCACTCCAGTGCACAATGTGACAACTGCATGTTATAACTGCTGCACTTCCCATCCTCATAGACTTTGGGGCCAGCCAATGTGCAGTGATGGCGGCCCTCATCTCAGTCTTCCACAGTGGTGGAGATGTTATCTGACCCAGAAGGGGATGCATGTTTGGTGAAGGTCAGTGCAGGTCAAACCCTTCCAGAAAGTTGAGGGGTCATGAATGAGACAATGACTGAGTATGTGGTGAGGATGAGAATGATGGGAGTCTTTGGGCTCCAGTCTGAAAAGAACTCTAGAAACCAGGTCTCAGGTGGGTGGTAACTCATGCCTTGTGCTCATGTGAAGGGGTTCTGAGTAATGAGTGAACAAGGAAGAAGCTGTTTTGACTATAAGAGGATCAAAGGAAGAGATGGAAGTAAAATGCCATTTATACATAATTTATATTTTACTTATGCCAAATTATTTATATCAGTTTGCCATTGCTGTACTTTGCAAATGTACAAACAATGCCACTGTCACACTTGGATTTTAGGAGGATTATCACTATGTAGATGCTCTGCCAGTGCCTTGACACATGAAGCGGTAGTACAGGCACCAATGTGGGTGTTGTTAGTAGTCCTTCGTGTGCCAAGTTACCATTAGCCCACTCTTTACTCTTATCTTTTCCCATATTTTTGAATGACTTTCTTTTGGTAGGGGGCACTGGTGGAGCAGTAGTTAATGCGTCTGGCTGCTAACCAGAAGGTCAGTAGTTCGAAGCCACCAGACACTCTGCAGGAGAAAGATAAGGAAGTCTGCTTTTGTAAAGATCTACAACTTTGGAAACCCTTTGGGGGAAGTTCTAATCTGTCCTATAGGGTTGAATGAGTTGGAGTCAACTTGATGACACTGGGTTGGGTTTGGATTTTCTTTTGGTAGGAAAGGTTCAGAAGGGATATGAAGTGATTAGTAGGAGCACAGCCTTGCTTAGCACTTGCTTGTTAGGAGTCATTTTAAGGTCTGATGTCACCATCACCACCCACTGCCATCAAGTAAATTCTGACTCATTAGTGACCCTTTTAGTACAGAGTAGAACTGCTCCATTGGGTTTCCAAGGCTGTAAATCTAATGCCTTTTGGTTAGCAGCTGAATGCATTAGCCACTGTACCACCAGAGCTCATTAGGCCTGATGTAGCATTGTATTAAAGCACTACTCACATTCATAAGCTCTGGTAGGAGTCCTCTTTATTTTGCTCCTTGCTAAGCATGTTCCTTCCTGCCAGGGATCCTGCATTTATGATGTCCTTGAGCAAAAGGAGGAAGGGAAGAAGAGAAAGAGTAATTCTCAATATGGACAAACTCCTTTGGGGTGCCACTTTCCCACATCACTGTGGCCGACAACTCAGTGTGTCATTTTACACTTATATGACTATTCTTATGCAGTGGTTTTTCCACCTGAAAGTGTCTATGGTCAAAGGTTTCAAGGAAGCCACTGATCCTACGACTTACACAAAGTCTGCCCAGTGGAGCTGGGCAGAGTCATAACAAAGCCATGGTATTCCACGGTGACTGTTGAGTTTGTAAGCCATTGTGAATTTCTCATTCTCCTGTGCTTTCAAAACTCAAATGGAAGCTCTTAGATCACACAAGTATCACAGCAATAACTTAGATTGAAAATAGGCCTAGTGAATTCTCTGTTTTAAAATGAGGGGCAGAGAAAATTGTAGTGATGGACAGAGCTGGAATCTGCCTGAATTCCAGCAGACATTGTACATAGATATGTGTATATAGAAAAGCAGATGGATGGCTCCACATTTTAGCTCCTATCGATGCACCAAAGGCAAGTGCCTTGTTTCTGTGCCAAATGTTATTCGGGTCCTTGCTGACCTGCATCCATGATACATGTCAGCATGACCATTACAGGGAATGTGCTGACCTGTTCTAGTGGTCCTGATGTCTTCAGCCGAGGCATCTAGCATTTCAGTGTTTCCTCTACTGCAGGAATCAGTTAAGGGAGAGGAAAGGTATATTCTCTCATCAAGAGGCTGCCTCATCTGAGATGGTTTGTACCCTAGTTTGACCCAAAGATTACAGGCTGGCCCCCTTCTCTGCTCATCTGAGATGGTTTGTACCCTAGTTTGACCCAAAGATTACAGGCTGGCCCCCTTCTCTGGAGAAGGAAAAGAGAGCTTGTTTAAAAATAAAAGCAGGAGATGGATGTGCTGCTTAGACTTGTGAGGACATCAGGGCCACCCATGATAGTCTTTGTTCAGCTCATTCAAGAAGCCACAAAAATTTGACTTTTAAACTGTCCAGGTGTGGATTGTACTCATACCAGTCAAAGGCATCAAGGAATTTGCTCCAAGTGTTTCCTCTGAGGGATGGAGGGAAACCATTGTCCACAGTTTCTAACAGGCTGGTATAACTGGGTTCTCTCCTTGTGTGCCCCATGTGCATGAAGACAAGAACAAGACAGCTTCATGCAGTCACAAACAACTGTGTTATGTACTGGAGACCTCGCTCATGCTCCACCCACTCTGGCTCTGGGTGCATGCAACAGGAAACACTCCCAGGCATCACACCTCTCAGAAACTCGCTGGCCACAGATGTGCTGTCCTGGAGAAGGGATGCCAGTGGGGTCCCAAGAACTGTTTGCAAGAAATATCATAGCCAGGGTCCTATTAACCTACTCATGAAATGTATTGTTATAATACTCCAGTGTTAAACTTTAACCATGTTAAATGTCACGCTGCATTAAAGAATTTCATGTGTATCCTCAGTGTCAAAGACCTTGTAATGTCTCCTTTGCAGCCTTACTTATCAGTGAATATTTTTACCTTTTCTGATACTGTAAAGAGTATATCCAGTATGTAAATGAATGTTCTATAAATCCTTTGTATAGTCATTTACTCTGCTCTTTAAATATAATCTCTATTCAGAGTATAATAAAATTATGAATTTGATAGCCTCAGTGAGCAGATTTTGTGTGTGTTGGGGAAGATGGTAGCACCCCTACTAGATGATAAGAGAACTCTGTGTGTGTGTATCTGTGTCTTAGGTGCTTATTTGAGAGGTTGATGGGTTGTTTATCAGTCAGTGGATTTAGTTATAAATCTACATAAGTTTTGCTTTTAGGAATATGTTTTACAATTTCTGCCCAGAGACCCTTGAAAAAATATATTTAACATTTAAGAAAATTAACTATAATGCCTAACTAGTGTTGATGGTGGGTGCTCTGATACTTAATTGAGGTTGATATAAATAGACCTACCCCACACACACTAACCCCAATTGCTGCAGGAATCAGCCCCCAGTGTTGGCCCAGGCCTTACTGATTCTCCCCTGTATCTACCTGGCCAGTCTCTGAACCTGAATATTAAGTCTGATAGATCCCCTCAGTCATGTTGCAGATGCTGGATGACAGGCCTGGGACATGTTGAGTGAATGCGTATCCTCCTGGCTTTCATGATCTTACACACACACAAACCCATCCTTGGCTTCTTCCTTCTCTCTTCCATGGCCTAGAGCCTTAGCGCCCTCTTTCCTGCTCTCAAAGGAGAATTGTTTCCTGCTGGCACAAGCTTTTCTTCTCTCCTCTTGGACAGCATGTTTGAGTGTGGGCTCCTCCCCCTCCTGAATTCCTGTGAGTTAAGATGGGGCCCAGTACTGAATGCTAGCCTGATTCCCTTTCAGTCCTATCACCCTGAGCAGTTCTGTAATCACAGGAAGTGGAGCCATTGCACTTGTCAGATCCCAGTTTGAATCTGCATTTGTACTTGATCACCTGGATGTGGATGAGCTGCTCAAAGCTACTCAGCCCTGAGAGCCTCATGCATAAAAGAGAAAGATATTGCTGCCTCCATGCACTGTGTCTCCTTCCGGGGCAGACCTTCCACAATGTCAGTCATTGTATTACATTAAGTTTGGAAGCATAACTGCTTATGAAACTGAACCTCTGATGACCAGTTTGACTCCAAATAAGAAGCAAAGCAATACTTAACTCCGAGTTTCCTCTTGCTTGCTCAGGCAGTGGAGGATTCAGCTTCTTACTCTGATGAAATGGATCATTGGAAAGGTGAACTTAAACTATCTCCAAGTAAGAGTCTGTGGGGCCTCAAAGGGGATGAGAGAAGGCTTGGGCAAATTAGATCTTGTTGAACAGGAAGTTCCTATCAGACCCCCAAAGTCATACAAGGCTCAGCCCTAAGAAATATGTCACAGTGTGGTGTAAGGTGAACAGGGCACTGAATTCACACAATTTAAGAGCACCACCTGATGAAACCACATCGCCCAACTCACAAAGCACTCAGAAAACAAGTCCCTAGACTTCATGAGCAGAGCCTTCCAGCTGAGCTGTTGGAAAGGCCCAATGACAAGGCCCTGGCTAAAGGAGCTCTGTCACATGTGGTCTTCATGGGGTCTCTCCATCTTGCAGCACCCTACTATGATATGGGTGCCTAGGTGACCCTCCCATCTGGGAACCACAGGTCTGTGTTTCACCTGTGGTGTTTGTCTCTTATCCACAACAGAGTGGTTTGTGGTCACAGGTAGGATGACCTACCTGATGGCCTTGAGGAAGTCACATTTCATAGATTAGGGGGCATCTGAACCAGGCATAGTCCATGGGTTGGAGTTTTCCAGAATTTGGGGCTTAGGCAATAGAGGGAAGGGACATTCCATCACACAGGAATTGT